GTGCACATGGATTCCAACTAAATTCAGGCTGTGGTGAATTGGCCAACCCCAGATTCCTGGAAGGCCCTGCAGAGGTTTCTGGGCTTTGCCAATTTTTACCGGCGGTTTATTCGCAATTTCAGCCAGCTTGCCACTCCTTTGACTGCCTTAACCTCCACCAAGACTCCGTTCAGGTGGTCCAGCGCAGCGGAGGCTGCGTTTACCAAACTGAAAAGCTGCTTTGTTTCAGCTCCCATCCTTGTCCCATCCACTTCATCCTCCTGCTCCACTGGCTCTCCTCAATCCTCCAGCTTCACCGGTCCATTCATGGTCTCCTGGCCTACTGGATCTACCTCTGCCCTACTATCCCTCGGCTCCCCCATGGACCTCCGGATCTTTGGCTGGACCTCAGCCCTCACCGCCCTGGCTCCACAAGTGTCCTCTGTCCCACCGGATTCACCCCAGTCCTCCGATCCCTTTGCTCCAAAAGTGTCCTTGGTCCCACCGGCTCCACCTTAGTCCTCTGATACCTTTGCTCTACCATTGCCCTTGGTCCCACCGGCTCCACTTTAGTCCTCCAATCCCTTGGCTCCACCACTGTCCTCTGTCCCACCAGCTCCACCTCAGTCCACTGATCCCTTTGCTCCACCAGTGCCCTCATTCCCACCGGCTCCACCTCAGTCCTCCAATCTCTTGGCTCCAACTAGTGTTGTCAAAAGACCCGGTACTTCGGTACCAAGTCGGTGGTACCGAGTACCCGGTCAACCCGATTCTTGATGCGCTATCCGAAAGGTGTGCAGATGCTCTCTCTTCATAAAAGCACTGAGACGTGGCGACATCAAAACGAGGAAACACACCAAACTAACAAAACACTTTAAAGACAGACACCCAGATCAAATGAAAGAGTTCAAGCAGGTAAGTTTCATTTTAATTTTTAATATTTAGATATTCTCAGTGTTTCCTATATTGATTTATTTGTGGTGGCCCACGCCACAATATCAAAATTGACCGCCACAAATAGATTTTCCAAAAGGCTTTGACTTCATTAAATAAACATGAGCACTGCACGTGTCAAAGTCGAAACCCGGTATTTCTGAAGGAAACCGACTGTCTTCAGAAAATTATGGATGTCAGGATATTCTGCATTCTAGAATATCCATGTGGTGTCTAGTTGAGGTGGGTAATGTCACAGGTTTTCTGTATATTGTTGTTTCAGAGACTCTAATTTAGGAGACTGTTTATTTCATGCCATTGTTTCTGTCTTCACATTTCCTGTTTATTTACTGCCTTCATGGCTTTCTTGGTTTCTAAGCATTTTCTTGTTTGTTTTTATAGTTATAGATTTATCTCACTTGTTTCTAGTTAAGTTACTTGTTTGTTCTGTGTATTCATAGCCTAGGGTTGCCAATTGTCCAGTATTACTTGGGACGTCCTGTATATTGGGCTTAATTGATGTGTCCTGTACGTGACCTCCCTTGTCCTGTTTCTTGACTGCTAACCACTGTCTGATACAACAGCAGCAGTGCTGATCACTTGAGAATACCCACCGACACCTGTCATCATCCAATCACAGCCACCCCTCAGGCAGTACACGTTCAGTAAATCAGAAATCGTGAACATAACTGTTCGAGGAAGGCTGTGGAATCCTCCGACGGCTGGTCGCTCCCGCTTCACAGCAATCGGTGCCCACGCTAATGCCAATTCCTTTCACCATCCTTGTTTTGACTACAAACAATGTGATTATTTTTCATGAGTCCAACATCCAGCCACGCAAGAAAACATGCAATATACGTGAGATGTGATCAATAAGGGAAGCCATCTTTCACTATTGCAATATCGTTAAATATCTTATCTCCTTACACTGGCTACCGCTTGTGGCTCGCATCAAGTTCAAGACACTGATGCTTGCATATAGAACACCCACAGGCTCAGCACCCGCCTACTTCCACTCACCATTACGAATCTACATCCCCTCCAGAAGTCTGAGATCCGCTAGTGAGCGACACCTCGTGGTACCATCACAGAGAGGATCAAAATCACTTTTCAGAACATTCTCGTTCACCGTTCCTGGCTGGTGGAATTATCTTCCCACCCCTATCCGGAATGCTGAATCCTTGACAATTTTCAAGCGACAGAGCACTTCCTGTGACTGTTTGCCTCTTTAAGATGGATCGCCTCTGTTTGCCTCTTTAAGATGAAATAGAGAAAAACATTTTACATTTAAGTAGTGCTGTCAAACGATTAATCGAGATTAATCGCATCCAAAATAAAAGTTTTTGTTTACATAGTATATGTATATATAAATACACACCCATGCATGTATATATTTAAGAAAAAAATGTTTATATATAAAAAAATATGTATAATATAATTGTTACGGGGCTGACGATACATGAGACGTGCGGATCCAAATGCAAGGCTTTATTCATAGACATGGTAGAGACAGGCAAGGGTCAGATAATGGCAACGGGTATATAGAGGGCAAGACACAAGAATAATCCTAGGGGGTGTGGTGCAAGAGTCCATAGTAGTGGATGGGTGACCTCTGGTGGCGAGGAGACGGAAGTTCATGGACCGGATTCGTGACAATAATATATATCAATATAAATATATACATGTAAATACATGCAAATATTTTCAAAATATATACTGTATGTGTGTGTGTGTGTGTGTGTATTTATATATACATAGTAAATATACACAGTACACACAGATATATACTGTAAATAAAAACTTTTATTTTGGATGCGATTAATTGTGATTAATCGTTGGACAGCATTACATTTAAGTAACTTCTAGAGTATTCCTAGCCTTATTCACCTTATTTGGTGTCAAGCACCAAAAGCAGCCCATATTAAATGAATAAGTTGTCTTTAATTGAAAATACTAATTTTCATATATATAATTTTCAAAGTTCTCCTTTGTCAGTTATATTCTGTGCATGTCCTTTGCTAGCTTTTATGATTGTGTATTCCTTTGCTAGCTGCTATGTTCGTGTATTTCCACTGGATTGTATTATTCTTCTTGGATTATGTTTGTGTTTAAAATAAAGCTGCAAGATCCTTGCCTCAACTACTCCTTGCAACCATGACACAGACATTAAGTGTACTTTTTTCAACATGATGTATGTGAGCACCTTAGATTTGTCAGTAGTCAGAGGTGGGTATAGTACTCAAAAACTGTACTCAAGTAAAAGTAAAAGTACTTATAGAAATATTTACTCAAGTAAAAGTAAAATTAATAGTCTGAATAGTTACTTGAGTAAGAGTAAAAAAGTATCGGATAAAAAAACTACTCAAGTAGTTACTTACTAGTTACTTTGGATCATATACTGTATCTATCTATCTATCTATCTATATATATATATATATATTATATAATATAAATTATAATATAATATACATTTATATATACACACACTGCTGTTCAAAAGATTTTTAATGTTTTTTTTTTATGTAATTCATTTCAGTGATGCAAATCAGAATTTTCATCAGCCTTTACGCATGTCTTCAGTGTCACATAAACCTTCAGAAATCATTCCAATATGTTGATTTATTATCAATGCTGTTCTTTTTAGCTTTCTATTCATCAAAGAATCCTGAACAAAATGTCACAGGTTCCAAAAAATATTAAGCAGCAAAACTGTTTCCAACACTGGTAATAAATCAATAGGCCTATATTAGAATGATTTCTGAAGGATCATATGACTCTGAAAACTGGAGTAACAGCTGATGAAAATTCTGATTTGCATCACTGAATTAAATAATATTTTAAAGTATATTAAATATTATTATATATGTATATAACCTCTGACACGGAGAAGAGTGAAAACTCCTCACATGACCGCTACCGAACATCTGAACATAACAAAACAAATGCACATTGATGGATCTTCTTCCGTCTATTCTGCAAAATGTAAACAAATGTATATTTGTGCAAGCGTAAATATTGTGAAAATATCAATATTAATTGTGTCTAGGCAAAGGCATTCCTACTGGAAAAGGTCACGTGCCGCTGCGCAGAGCTAACGCGGGTTTGGCAGGTGTTCAGTTCATACTCTGTAACAGCTTATTTAATGTATAAATTATACATTGTATTTAATGTATAAGGTACATGTACAACAAACTGGTAATGTCATAGTGGTATCATGTAGGCCTACTGTAATCGAATGTAGACTATCTATAGGCCTGCCTGTGGAACCGTAGACAGTACACCCGCTGTTCATCTAATAAAGATCTTCATTGCTAGCAAACAATAGCCTTTGCAGATTTTCTTTCAGTTGACTGTAACTTAGATCCAAAGCCACGTCTTCAATGCTCTTGATGTTCTTAAACTTTCTGTTACAATTCTGAGTGAGAACCGCTTCAGACGACTCTCGGCGTGCGGCAGGGAACTGAACGAATCATTCAAAACTGATTACCGAACCAATTCACTGGTTTGCCAACTGGTTTGATAAAGCCTTTGAACAGAATTGACTCAAAAGAATGAATCATTCGCGAATGGGCATCGTTCATTGCCCAGAGAAAAGCAGACGCCGCGTTTGGAATAAATGTAAGCATTTTTAACTTGTATTGCATTAAGATAAAGTAACGAGAGGAGCGTCGCCCACAGTAACGAAGTAAAAGTACCATTTTTTCACTAAAAATGTACTTGAGTAAAACTAAAAGTAGCCTACCCATCTTTAAATATACTCTAAAAGTATTAGTTACCCAAAAAAATTTACTCAAGTAAATGTAACGAAGTAAATGTAACTCGTTACTACCCACCTCTGGTCGCCAGAAGTCGCCAGCTCTCCATTGAGAATGAATTTTTTCACTAAAAATGTACTTGAGTAAAACTAAAAGTAGCCTACCCATCTTTAAATATACTCTAAAAGTATTAGTTACCCAAAAAAATTTACTCAAGTAAATGTAACGAAGTAAATGTAACTCGTTACTACCCACCTTTGTCAGTAGTTGTCTGATTTGTATTATATTGACATGTAAATGTATACTGTAACGGAACATACTTTAAGTACTGTACTAAGGTTTGTAGAACTTCAGAAATACAAATATGGTGACATCATAGGAGGTATTACAGGGCTGAATTGGGAAATATACTAACAGACTTTACAAGCAGCAATGTGAAAGGTGAAGCTAATCAATCAAAAACAAGTATTTCCACTGAAAATACCCAAGTAAAGTCTAAAGTAGTTATGTAAAGTTATATCCCACACGCACACACACTCTCACACACACACACACACAAACAAACTAAGAAATAAATATTTAGAAATGTTATAATATTAATGCTAATATTACAAATGCTAAAAAATATATATGCATGTATAGAAATTAATAATGATCCCTATTCCCTCTCTGGATGGCTACTAGCTGTTTACTTACCACAGCACCTTAGAAACAAGTTTCCTCTGACGTGAAATGCTGAAACATACCAAAACATATATAATGACCAAACGCATCAATCTTTACACAGACCAAGAATTAAAAAATGTCTAATATGGCATAATGCATCCTGTATGAATGCATTCTAGCTGATAGACATGGACTTGCATAAAGTTAGTTATATGCTTTTGTTTATGTATAGAAATAAAATAGACACTATAAACCTTTAATGGTGTAGTTGTAGAAGTGTAGTAGGAGGGTAAGGTATAATGTAATGTTTAAGGGAGTGTAATGTATATTGTGTTTTGTTTGTGTGTGGATGAAGTGCATGTTGTTGTTTAAAGGATGTTGATTGTTGTAAACACAGATACTGTCATGCAAGAAAAATTTCAGACTCGTCTGACAATAAAGTGTTATATCATATCATATCATATCATAAATGGGTCTGTAATTTGCCAGTTCCCTAGGATCTAGTTGTGGTTTCTTAATAAGAGACTTAATAACCGCCAACTTGAATGGTTTTGGAACGTGACCTAAAGACAACGACGAGTTAATAATATTGAGAAGCGGTTCTTCTGCTACAGGTAACAACTCTTTC